ATATGTCCAAAAGGATGAGCATGAAGGCTGATATCTACACCTATGTAAAGAGGCCCTAATGAATCAAATAGAACACCAATGTTTAAACTGCAGAATTTTTGTCTTGAACTTCAAATCGAGGTCCCTACGCTAAGTACATAATCTTAAATACAGAATTGATAACATGAATACTACACTGCAGCCTCCATATCTGCACCCAGTTCCAGACCTGATGTACCACCAGTTGAATCATTCAAGACTGCTGGGTTTATTTCATGTGGTATGACTGCCGTGTCCTAGGGCCTGGAATGTACAGTTAAGTTTAGCACTAGTGAGGATGGTGTACCTGAACATGATAAAATCTCGTAAGCGAACGACATCAAGTATGTTGAGTTTGATCCATCTCTTTAAGGTGTTGTTAAACATCAGGGAACCTGCAAGAGAAGAAAGATGTCAGATTCGCGTGGCTCTTATTTGTCTTTGCCACATAACAGTATAACACCAGAAGAGTTTCCTAGAGCTGAAGGACGCAATTACCGAAGTTCAATTACAGAAGCAAATAAAGGAAATGCTCCATCTAGCGTTTATGTAGCAGCCCTCCTTCACGTGGTCAGGCATTAGTTCACTATGCATCAAACATACTAAGCTAACCAGTTAGATGGATGCCTTAGAGATACCATGTATTGAAGAAGCAGACCTGGATAGGATGTTAAACATGAATGACCAGCAGGCTTAGAGATGCATTACTTCCTAAAGATGAACCAAAATTGGCAATCCCTCTCTTGCTCAACATCGACCGCTGGTTCTCGCTAATGCAGATGCACCATATATTAAGATGGTCAGTGAACAGTTTGATAGATGCCATAGAGCTCTCCTTCAATATGTCGACTTTCTAGGCAGTGCAGTCACACCAGGGTCAAATTATGCCATTCTTATTCCCTCCCTTGATGATCTGGTCCACCTTTACCACTTGGATCCCGAGGCTGCTTTCTTGATATATCGCCCTGTTATGAGACTTTTCAAGTCTCAGGGGACTCCCAATATTTGCTGGCCCTTGGTAGAATTGCTGCATAAACATGAAGAAAATGCCGCATCTGTCAGCAGACGACTCTCTTATGCAAAAGACAAATGGTTAAGTTCCTGTCCTGATACCTTGGAGATTAACATGGAATTTCTTCAGTGCTGCATATTTCCACGTTGTACTTTCAGTATGCCAGATGCTGTTTATTGTGCTATGTTTGTACACAATTTCATTCCGTGGAAGCCCTTCATCTCCAACGAACGTATCAAACACGAGTTTCCTCTCTGGGCTTCTAATCCGTATTCTGGCCCAAGACCTTTGCCATCTACACCTGCCGGGTCACCTTCAGAATAAAAAATAACCGTTAGAGAATATTCACGGAATAATAGAAGATGCAGAATCATATCAAATCCAATTTCAATTAAATCACAAAATCAGAGATTGATAAGTCATTATAGCAATCAGACGAATTAGGAATATCCTTCAAATCTGATTCAGCCCAAACGGGAAAACCTAAATCAACATTTAAATCAGCATTCAACACCCAATCAAGACATTTTCATTCTGAGACCTATAAAAGGAGGCTAAAGAGTAAGAGAAGAGGGATCGAACAATTATCGTAAGACACCGAAAATCACCATCGTAAACCTAGTAAATAGAGAAGAGAGAACGCTCATCTTTTCCGTTGAAGAAGCCACCGCACGCTGCCGCGAATTCAACGGACGGAATACCCTATTCTTATCAACCCTAACGCCGCTGCGACCATCAACCGTCGGTAATTCTCTGTTCTTTTCCATATCACTAAACTCTTGATGTTTCTGGTTATGATTTCAGGTGCGAAGTATGAGAAGGAATGGTGAACGAAAGCAACCGATTGCGATTGGAGGGAGGAGGATGAGAGTGCTGAGAATCCAATTTGGGAATGAAGGGGATTTAGGGTTTCGTCGCTCCTTATCGTCCCCCTTTTTGTTTGTTCGCGTGTTTTGCAGCTTACACATTCATCACACACTCACCACACTGCACCGTTAATCACTTCGTAATTCACTTTAATCTTTTTAACTATTAGTTTTAATCCATACTCAACCCTTTAATTAATCAGTTAACTAAGTTTTTAAAAAAAAGAATAAGCTAATAATCTTTATTAATTAAACCAGCCTTTTATCTCTTTATTTATTTAATTAATCTAAAAATTTCATATTAATTAATAGTTTTTTTTTGTTAATCCAATTAATCAATCTTTTATTTTATAACAACTTTTATTATAATTAGTCACCCCTTTTAAAAATAACTAATAATAAATTAGTTTTTATTCAATTTTATCATATTTTCTTAGGTTTATTCTATTTTATTTATTATACTATTTTACTTTTTAATCAACCTTAGATAATCAAGCATTTTCTATAAAAATTAATAATCTCTTTTTCACCTAAATTATTGTGCCAATTATTAATTAATCCTTTAAAAAAAAAAGGGAAATAACTTCCTATTAGATAATCGGTTTATAAAAGAAAACAACTATTCATTTAATTTATATTTAATATTAAAACTTTCTAGGAGTATAATAAAAAACAATTTTTTATATATATTAATTCGCCACGTTAGATCCAATTCTTACAAGCAAATCTTTTTACTTAAGTTTTTTAAACGTCTTACTCAATTTTAGATCTTAATTATACTTAATCTCACCTAGAATCAATCTCTCGGTTAAAATCGACCAAATAAAATCAACTCACAGCATAAAATACAACCTAATCGTGCACACTCACTTCACGACACATTCACTCTCACACACTTCAGCGCTTTCATGCGTATGTGTATGCTTTACCATTTCCGCAATTTATTTTACAAGCAATTTACATTATCGTATTTTCGCATCGCATTCCGTCCAAAGGAAAACCCTACACATGATTCAACAATCGTGTGTAGTGTATCTCATTTGCATCATACTCCCGCTCGATCCTTGATCCCATTCAAGTTGATCAATTAAGTTAGATCCTACCCCATAGGAAGGACCTTTCTCTTACAACTTAGACAATCAACAATTAAACACAATACATTCAAACAATTCAAAACAATTATTCAAACACAATAAAGAAAAGATGCCAAATCATCTTAAGCGAGATAGAATCTCCACCCCACAACAATACAATCAAGCCGTAGGGACTTTGCCTTAAGAGAAATAAAGGCATACTCGTCAAGCAATCCGAGTACTTAAGCCCTTTTCTTAAGACGATGCAAAGACTATTTTCCTACACCTTGTGGCGGTTAAATCTATCTTAAAATGAAGACACATCTCTTCTCCTAAAATCAATCAATCAACTACCCTAAACCCGTAGGAACTTTGACCACAGTCAAAGAACTCCTCAAACCCTTTATGGGAACTACAAATACTCTGATTCCACTCCCGTAAGGATATGTAGGCATAAGATGCGACATCTTATCGAGTATACTTAGAAATAAACTCATAGGTCTTTCAACCATTAAGCAGATAAAACCATAGCAATAAACAAACATAAAACAGGAGGTTCCTGTAGAGTACTACAGAAACTTAGGATGCTAGTACCTTCCCTAAGTTTAACCAACCCCCGAACCTATAACTCTCTAAACCTTGCATTTGCATTGCATTGTGGGAATTTTGATCTTTATCCCTTCCTTTGGACAAATCAAAGTTCGGTATCAAATTGAATTAAAGATTCAAACTAATCAATAGTTTGGTATCCGATTTTCACCGCGACACCTTCCGCCTTCATCTTCTCGCTCACCATCTCTCTCGATCGATTTATCCTCTCTCTTATATATCAACCTGAAACAACAACAATGTTAGCACAAAAAAATATTGACAATTTAAAAATGGTTTTTTACAGGGTTTTTGAAGATGGATCCTCGGCGATGACGATTGCAAAGGTGGTTCACGTCAGATGATTGTGACAATGGCTTCTCCGGCGGCGGGTTCGTGGTGACGGTGATGATGCTACAGATAAGTCTCCTTCCCTTCCGCGTTTTGAGTATCTAGGTTTTTTTTGAATCTTTGGGATTTCTGTGGAATTTGTGGATTGTGGTTGCGATTTTTTTTGTCAATCGATTTCTCTGTATTGTTATCCTTCGTGTGATTTTCTGAACTGAACTGTTATGTTGTAGATTTTGTTCTGCAACTGTGTGTCTGTTGAAAAGGGCGTGGACGAAAAGGGTATTCACGGTAATGGTGCAAGGGTTCGTAGATGACCTCGCGGCGGAATATTTACAGGGTAAGCTCTCACTCTTCGATTTAGATACTCAGGGTTTTGTTTGGGGATTTTGGTGAGGTTTCTGAGGATTGTTGTGGATGTTTCTACCTGTTTTGTCTTCTCTCCCTTTTTTTTCCGTCCTATCTCCGAGCTTCTTCGCACTTTATATAGGTGAGCTATGGGCCTCCAATGAACAAGGCTCTTAAAAACCTTCCTTATTGAGCGATTTCTGTCGGGAGCATGTTTGCTGAAATCGGGAAATCACTTCAAACTTTTCCAATTTCGCCTGATCTTGTCAAGAATATGCTTTTGGGAAGTTTGGAGACTAATTAAATTCGTTTTGATTTTGCAGGGACACTTGAGTGGTATCATTGCATGACTTTAAGCTACCTTGAACCTCATTGGAATTCTGATCGAATATTATTTTGCAGCAATAACCACAAAGCAGTGCAGCAGTACTTTCATCAATAGAATATTTCTTCTGTTGCATTGTTTGTTCGGAAGAATCGCCAGAGCTTAAATGCCCAAAAGAGAAGGGATTTGAGGATAAAAATTGAATTCTTAACACTTCATTGCTCTTCCCAACCTCCTGGATTTTGTGACACTGCTCTCTGCTCTTGAAATTGCAGTACTGCAACCAAGGATGCCGTTGTTTCTATATGGTCCCAAACCTTCCGTTTTTGTCTTGCTCAATACGGTCTCTCTGAACATTTTGCCGAGCTTGTTCTTATTATTATGTTCACATCTTAGTTGTTAATTCATTCTGATATATTGAATTATGAATTTGCAGGGATTTTTTTCGGTGGCAGCATATAAACCATGTCCACACCAACTTCACATATCAACTGTTGTGGCACCACAATCCAAAGTCCTAGCTTTTCTCCAAATGCTTCTTGCCCTAATTCATGGTATCTGTCAAACCTTTTTCCAGACACCATTTCATGCATCTCAACCATCTTCCATAGAGTGTGTAGAGATATTAACCATGATAAGATCAGAATCACCACTCCTGGTCCCCATCCAAGACTTGCCATGGCAGGTGGAAGGCTCAAGACACCAGCTCCAACCATAGCAGTGACATTATGAAAAGCATCGTACCACCATTTAGCGTTCCTTGAAGAAGTTATAGGAAGCCAATTATCAATAGCTTTTTGCTCAGCTGTTCTTTTATCTATCTCTGCGTCTGAGAAAGAAACCTTTTCGGAAGCAATTGTTTTTTCATTTTCCATGTTTGTTGTGGCAGGCTTTAGTTTGCGGTACGCAACGAAAGGAATTGGTATTGCAGCCGATTACACCATGTTGGAAAGCCATTCATTTAGATGAATCGTCAACAGCAGCTAGTGTTCTTATGGCCATTACCCGCAAGCTATATCGCATCATTGAAAGGGAGCTATGTTGGATTAACGCAAGCGGAAATTTGGTTCAGTAGGTAGCCACCATATGTTGCTACGGCAGGTAGCCTTGTCTCTTCACCAAAATCTTGTAGAGAGGGTAATGACTGTTGACTAGGCTAGTTAGTTTGTGAAAGTTCTCACCAAACCATGTGCTTTGCAGGTGTGAAAGCTGAGGACTGGTAAAAGTATGGACTGGAGGTGGAATAATTAACCGCTTTGCTTTGACTAGATGACATCTTCATCGGTCCTTCCGGTAAAGCGAGAAGAAAACGAGTTCATGATCAATCCTTTGATTGGAGCTTCAGTTCCGTCCCAAATATTAACAGTTGTCTTTCTCATTTGTAGGTCGTCAAAGACAAAGTACCGTTACTGCTTTATTTTACGAGAAGGCGGATGCTACGAACAGGTCGAAGGAGTGAAAAAAAATAGCTCAGAGCTGGTTGTATCAGAACAACTCTATACTGAGGTGTTGTCTCGATCAAGAAGCTGTACTTGTCCTGGCGTGGAGGTCCAAAATGGTTGCAGTCAAGTTGTGACAATTTATAGTATTCTAGCACCATGTCTTGTTTGCAATGCCTTGTAATGACTTGTGTTAATTTAAAATATATGGAAACCTTTTTTGTTCTCACAGTAGCAGCAATGTAAAGTCTTGTGAGTCACTCGGTTGAATTCTTTGACTTACGTATGGCATCTTGTGTTTAGAAGAAATCTAACTCATAGACTAAGTTATAACCCCCCGCAAATTATTGCTTGATTATGTACCCCCTTTCTTTTTTAAAAGACTAGAATTTCTTGTACGCCTTGTATGGGTGAAGTTTGTAACCAATGCTTTGTAAAATAGAAAAGATATCATGTAATGCAAACTTTGAATTTCAAATTCCACATGAGATTTTGATTTAATAATCATAGTTATGATAATAAAACAAAGTCTCTTCACTTAAACGTAGCAGATCTTTAATTGAATCACTCCAACTTCAATGATTATGTGACAAGATGTTAATTCCTATTTCACCATTATATGGAATCCAGATTTTTAAAACTCCTGGGATGCCTTGATAAACCTTGATTCTTTGGAGCCAGATTCACACCATTAAAAACCTTGATAACAAAGAAAATAGGTACATCCAAGGCGATGTAGCTCCGTAATATGTTACCACAAAAACCGCGAACCTCCTCTTAAAGCCTAATCCTCTTTAAATTCGAACCAATAGGAAAATCTCTGGGTCTTTGAATCGAAATTCCTTGATCATGCTTCAAGGTTCTTTTGACAGAGAAAATGAGTATCGACAGCACCTGAAATGGTTGTTCTGCACAAACTGGTTAGTCGTAAAACACGCACGCAAAAGTATAAAGGTAAAGGGGCAAAAAACAAGAGGTGAAATCTCAAGGTCAAAAATTAGGGTGCAACAACTGCATGCAAAGGAAAATTGTGAATGCAACCTTCATATGGAAGGTGTCTTGCATGAACACACAACTAATTTAACTGAGAACTATCCATCCCAAGGTTAGGATTGCAGAGTTTTTGTAAAGAAAGAAACTCCAACTTTTAGGCTTGAAGGGGTTGACAAGGGAATAACTTCCTTATTTCTCCAGTGTTTGAGGAATTGAAAGAATATCTTACATCGTCAGCAAATTTTGATTGAAAGCATACCAATAGCATTTATGGATAATACGTTCTCATCATCCTCCCTCAAATATTTACATGTCAAAAGTTTGAACAAAAGATAAAATAGTTTTTGAAAAGGAAAGCATAAAGATGTAAATAATGGATACAAATGAATTAAATCAAAATTTGCAAATGCTCATTTCATTAATTACGAAAGTACAAACTTAATTTGAAGGAAAAATGCTACTACAAAATAAAGGAAAACGCAAACAACAAGAAACATGGCCTAGTGACTAATCAGTAACAAGGATGAGTTGTCCTGTCTGAAACACTGGCTTTTAGGAAGATAGTATGCTGAAGTCGACTGAAGCTCACTTATGATGCATTGGCAGAGGATTATTATTGATGTTAGGATTGGAGTCTTGAAATCTAAAAATTCTGACCTTAATCAGATCACACATTCTGGCTTTCAGTGCATATCAATTTTCCAGGCCGTGGCTATGGCGCCTTCATGGAATGCATAGTGAAGATCATATCTAAGTCCCTTTGGAAGAGAATCAGGAAGAGGTTGCAAAGTCCTTGTGGTGATCAAACCTTATTGAACCAGATCAGGATAAAGTTCAGTGTACGTCATGGGAATAGGGTTGAATTGATTCCGATTCTGGTACTGGTTCTGTCCAACAACCGGATGTTGAGGAACCTGAGCTCGTCATGGAGCAGCAACAGCAGGAGTAGCAACAACAATAGTAGGGTGATCAACATACCGAGGTTGATGGTGAGGCCTTCTCACTTCAGCCATGCCAGTGTTAGTCTTATCTTCTTTCTTCTTATGGAAGTTCCTATAGGATTTCTTTGCACCGTTGGAAGATTCAACGACTTTGGATACCTTACCATTTTTTTAGTCCTTCTTCCAACATTTGGCCAATAGTTACCAGATTTGTAAAGCTTGAAGAGACACTCCTAATCATCTTCTCCCAATAGAAATGGGATAAAGTGTCCATGAACATTCCAGTCAATTCCTTTTCTGCCAAAGGAGGTTCAACTTGGGAAGCTAGCTCTCTCCATCGCTGAGCATATTCCTTGAAAGACTATTTCTCATTCTGAGACATATTTTTGAGTTGACAGAGGTCAGGAAGCAGTGGACACTATTATGTTCTAAGTTTATATACCATTTGAGTGAAGCGCCACCAAGCTGTCTTGAAAATAGTGGATGAGCAACTTCTGATTGCTAGTATAAGCATCCATCCTTCGGAAGTACATGACTAGATGAGCTCTTGGGGAAGAGTTACCCTTGTACTTTATAAACTCGGGAGTTTTCAATTTAGCAAGCATAACAAGGCCAGAAACTAAGCACATGTTGTCTGCATCCATATTGAAGAAGTCGGTACCCTCAATGGCTTTAAGTCTTTTGTCTATGATCTGAAACTGTTCACGGGAAACCTCAGGCTCAATAAAATCTTCACGGTCTTCACCTTGAGCACTTACAACATTATAGTCAAAGAAAGGAGCTTGAACAGTCTGGGCAACAATGTGAACCACAGGTATGGGCTCGGCAAATACAAGAGCTTGAAAAACTGGTCTAGCAGTCTGACCAATCATGGCAGTAGATGCAAGAGGTGGAAAGTAGTTGTGAGGTAAACCAAACTCTGGCCAAGTAGAAGGTGGCATCTGAGTAGGTGGAGGATCAGTGCTTGAAACTTCCTGAATAATAGTCCTATTAGATGATGGCATAAATCTAGAAGGGGGTTGAATAGATCCCTTGCTTAAAAGAGTCGGCGCTACCAATAAAATTGGTTTTTAAAAATTGTTCAATTTACGGAAGGGACCGAGGAATTTATACCGTCTAAAACAAACAGTTACTAGAAAACCGAATATGCGTTTAAGCCTTATGGAATCCGATAACGAAATATGAGAATTACTATGCTAATCACACTATCAATTCGATTCAGCTCACTATATGGTGGGACTAGTTCCAATGCCTTAAAAATATTAACACAATGAAAGGACAACACACAAGGCGTTTGGTTCAGACAATTTATCAAACACTTGGCGTGCAGAGCACTACAAGTGAGTTCCACTTTGAGTAAGTTGCTCAAGTTTCCTTATACAATCAATGATTGTACTAGATTCAGAATCATTTTAGCACTACTCAAACCAGAACTAGATTGATATAATTGTTTGCACTAAAACCACAAATATTAAGCAATATAAAACGTAAAGCAAAATACACAACGATTTGTTGAGGCAGTTCCCTCGTCGTCCTCGCTCGGGGTACGTCTGCCCTCAATTCCAATAATAAAATTGAGACCTGTTAATATATATATCTAACCTATTGTTGAAAGTTTATACAAGAAGTGAATAGCAATCAAACAAACGAACACTCTTGTTGTTGTAGATACTATCTCCTCTTGCCCCTTGATTCGAGTCGAATCAAGTACTTCGACAGCTGTGAATAAACCTCTGATTGCGGCACTATCTTTGAACAACCTTCCATCTTCAAAATTTGGCCCGGCTGATTTCAATCACCCGCGTGTCGAACCCGAAACTCTCCTTCACAATCCTCCATTTACCATTACTAAATCACGGAACCCACCGCTCCTTAATTACCTTCACTCACCTGAATATGTGATGCGACGAATCGTGCAAAAACCTCCCAAATTCAGAGAATCTTTGAGGACAAAACCCTAGAGGTTTTATTCAAGGAAAACCTGTCGATTCCTCAACCCGAACCGGATTACCAAACCTTCAACTTCGAACGTTATCACCTCTAACAATGCACAATACACAACAAAGATGATTATGTGTGATTGTTGTGATATTCTATGAAGAGAATGAAGATGATGAGATCCGAATCGACACCTATTTCACTTTTCTTGTTTTTCTTAATGTTATGAAGTGAAACAAGCATCTAAACTAATGAGATTATGTTTAAGGCCTTCGACAAGCAACACATCGGAGATAGTAGTGGAAGAGGGATTACCTACATTACCTTTTCCAAGTATTGCACCTCGGTTGTTGTCTCCATAAGTTACATATCCCTTCTTCTTTTCCACAAAGTCAATGAAGAGAGATATGTCTCCTGTCATGTGTCTTGAGCAACCACTATTGAGAACCCATCTTCTCTCGGTAGTCTCAAGACCTATTACCTATGAACACAATTTGCAAGAATATGTACCCAATTATTTATTAGGTCCTAGGTTGTGAGTGAAAACATGGTCGCATTTAGAAA